GTACGTGAGCGCTTCGTGGTCTGTCTCCAGGATGAATTCTCTACCGTAGAGATATCGCTGGAATTTTTGTATCGCCCATACAATTGCCAGACACTCTTTTTYCGTTGTTGCGTAAGCCTTTTCTCTTTGTTGCAATTTTCTGCTAGCATATAGCACAGGGAATGCTTGCCCATCGTATTCTTGCAGAAGAACTGCTCCAAGACCATCATCCGACGCATCACTTCTCACGATAAATTCTTTTTTAAAGTTAGGGAGTTGAAGAACTGGCGATGTCGCGAGTCGCTGCTTCACAGAATTTAGAGCTTGATTACACTTTTCATCCCATTCTACTTGGTTTGGTCTGCCGTTCTTTGTGAGGTCCGTGAGTGGTGCGGTAATTGCTGCAAAATTTGGGATAAATTTGCGGTAATAACTAGCGAAACCTAACAGTTCTCTAACCTGTTTCTTAGTCTTCGGGGTGCTTATGGACAGTATCTTATTGACCTTACCTTGTTCTGGCGCTAACTTACCGTGTCCAATATTGTGTCCTAAGAATTCAAGTGTGCGACAACCTATGAAACACTTACTTGGCTTAGCAGTCAGATTCGCTTTTTTCAGTCGGTCAAACACGTTACGTAACAGTCTTAGGTGTTAACCTCTCTCGACAACGGAGTGAATGGCTTTGACTTCCGTAKCTTCTGTCCTCTGGTTTCCACTGCTCCTGCTTCACCGGTGCTTGAGTACTTCCAGTCCCTCAAATGCTCCGACGGACCGAGTGCACCAGGTATATTTCCGATCACGAGATCATAGAGCGGATTAGGCATAACCATCGCCCACACGGTTCCAGTGTAGTACGGGTTATCAACATGTACCTTCGCCACGGGAAAATTATGTACCGTCCTGTCAAGTAACACGCATTCTTGGCTCTCGCCAGTCAAAGCTCCATCCGGAGCTAGACTCTCCCTCACAACCACTCCACTACATCCACTGTCCCAACTTTACCTGATACTAGTCCTTCGGTTAACGGCATGCTCGTATTTTTGGGCATCTCTTGTGCTTTATTAGCATCTTGCTCGCTCTCATAGGCAGCCCCACCATGCAGATCTTCATTGCTTGCATGGAGGCATGACGCTTCGTTAGGATTTCGGGTACTCACCTTCTGTAGGCATTCACGAGCAATATGTCCCAACCGCGCTTACATCGATGACATCGTATCTGCCTCAGCCCGGTCCTGTCTTTGCTCTGGTCCCTTTGTTCTGTCTGTTGCATAGGCATTGCGTCCTTGGTTTCCTGGGTACCAGCCTGTACGTTACGTGATTGATTTTGCTTCCTTACCGGTCCTGGATGAGCCTCCCTATAAGCTTCAGCTAGTTTAATCATACCTTCAAAGTATTCTGGCTGTCGTTCCTTAACAAATGTATTAAGATCACGAGTACTAGAAATCATTAACTGTTCTAAATTAATACCCCACTCCGTCTCTGGCCACTTCTGCATTTCGGCATACCGCTCAAACCTTGCTAAATATGCATCAATACTGTCACGCCTCACGTCAAATGCAGGGAGCTTAGGCTTATCTACAGAAACTAGCTTTGTAAAGTCTTTCACACTTACCTCGTGAGGATTACCTTTACGTATACTTTCCTTTTCCGCCTTCCACTCGAGCTTAGCCTTTTCCAATTCGTACCTTATCCTGGCAGCTTCTTGTTCGGCAGCGATTCGTGCGAGTTCGATCTCTTTAGCATTTTCATTTGCTTTCTCCTGCGCCTCCAGCTTTGCTTTTTCCAGGGCTCTGGCTTCAGCTCTTTCCTGCCGTTCCGCTGCTTGTTGCTCCTTCGCGAAGACCAACAACTCCCTTCCATCAAGGCCATATTTCTTCCCCAGGTTGATAAAATCTTGAAACGTAGACATAGTTCAACGCATAACCACTATTCGGATAAACTGTTCAGATAAACAATAATACTTCATTAGGAAACTCAATGTTCATAATAGCAGTGTTTGACAGTGTTCGATTCAGCTTGATGAAAACCACCTCAGTTATAGGTCGATACGATAAGTCAATATACAAAGTTATTTCTTTGGTTCCCGTCTGAGCCCCCAAATTGTCACGGTCCCAACCAAAGTTTAATAAAATGAATAACTAAGTAATAGATAACTTCTAATTTTAGCTAACCTCACACATGTCGCACTAACTAAATGGTAGCTTTTTGTCGAACGAACATTCACATGGTCACGCTCTCTCTATATATGTGCTGAATAATATTGACTTATATATATTAATTCACACCAGTCCACACACTCTCGGTGCACCTTAACCGGCAGTCCTTATTTCCTTTTTTTTTTCTATTTCTTACTTTTATTAGTAAAATATTTCAACTTTACATGTTTGATTTCACTTC